TTTCGCCAAAATATTTTTTTGAGCTGGCCTGCTTTCAAAGTGCCTCCAAAAAACTGTATTATTTTTATTCCGTTAATGAAATGTTCAAACATTTTTATGCATACCTTTTAAGCTTAAACCCTTCTACTGTGTGAGGTGTTTTTTTTAAGGAAAATTTAACTTTATTTATAAGAAACAAAATTTTTGTAGTTTTTTTTTTAAATCGTTTTAGCTTACGTAAATCTTAATACTTCTCCGGATTATTTTGGCGGACTTCTTTAAAAATTATGCATTTTATAATTTCGGAGAAAAAATTGCGACTTTTTTTTTTTAGTGAGGCATCCTAATGTTCACATATATGCAAATGCTGGCGGATGCATCAAAGCTTGATTTAATACTTAAAAAACACGTACGCTTACGTGGCACAGGTTGAGAAATCATCATTCAAACATTCGAACACTCAAACACACACACACACACACTCTTACAGCTGATAGAGAAACTTTTGAAAAGCAAAAACTAACTTGAATATTCAGCAAATTAAATGAAGTGAAAAGTTACTTGAGTTTTCATTGGCATCAACGAGCAGCCAATTAATGAAACTTCTGAGATATTTATTTTTATATTTTTTTTAACGCATGCACACTCACACTCGAAACATATACATACATATGTAGTGCTTGTAAAAAGGTCTGTTAGCATTTAATGCACGGAATCGACAATGCTTGATTTAATTGGCACCACTTTTGTAATAATAATTCGTTTATTTTACTGGCTTTAAGCCGTTTAAAGTGAACATTTTTTTCGACTTACATAAATTTATAAATGTAAAAGTGTGTCGAGTACTCAGTATAAGGATACAACAGTAATCACTAGGAACGATGAGAGCAATTCAGTAGTTTTAAAATAAATACATATTTTTATGTTTTACTTATTTAGCTATATTAGATCAATGCATTTTTGACTAATTGGAATACTTACTGCAAAGATTTAATATTTTAATATTGTATTTTTTTATTTCCAGTTTATTTCCAGTAGCCGCAGCACCACCGGTAAATTTTCTTGTATTTTTTAATAATTTTTTTTATTTTAAATTTCTTTCAATTTATGATTTTATTTTTTTAATTTCATTTGATTTTAGGATCTTATTTCTATAATTTTTTATCTTATATAATTTAAATTTTTTTTTAAATTTAAATTTTATATTTTTTTTAAATTTCTTTAAATTTTTGGATTTTTTTTTCTATGTATTTTTTCCTACTATTTTTTACTTCAATTAATTTTTGGTAGCTTGCTACACCTTTTTTATTCTATTTTTAAACGACTTAAAAAAAAATTGTAAATTCCTAATGTACTCATTTTACTAAACTTCGGTGTAAAAAAAATTCATAATTCTAATTATTGTAGAGTGCACCCCATAATACTAAATATTGGGCAATACTCAGAGCTACCATTGTGATTTGTTAAAATTTTTTTTTGAGATGGCATATTATCAAAAACTGTTTTTCTTAACCAAAAAAATTGTATGTGAAAAATTGTTTAAGAAAAAAAATTTTAATTATATTTCTTTTCATAAAGAAGTTGGATGTGTGTATGTGTAATTTTTTTCAATTTTTTTTTTCGCCCCGTTCTCGATTTGGAAAATTATCAAATCGATTTGTTTTTGTTTTTATGCTGTAAAGTTTTTAAAAATGTATTAATCAAGCTCAAATTTCATATTTATTTTTATTTATTTGGTTATGTTTATCCATCAACCCTTAACATTTAAAACAAATCAAACACATGAAGTCTGAACCCCGTCCATTTTGGTATGGATATATAAATGTATATTTTTTTTACATGGGTGTTATATTTGGACCACGTCAACCGATTTTGATAATTCTTTTCCCATTAGAAAGGCGGTACCTCAAGGGTGGTTCCGTACTAATTTGGCTTAGGTCCGACCATTTGGCCATGAAGAAATTAACGGTTTTATGTTTTTTGCTTAAAAATTACTCGTTTGAATTTCCTTTTAATTAATAGATGGTATTATTTTAAAGAGAAAAATAAATTTTTTTTTAATTTTTAGAATTTGTTGTTTTAAAAAGAAACATATTTGTTTTATTATCATTTAATTATTAGAAACTTATCTTATATTTTTTTTTTAATTTTAAATTTTTATTGGTTTGAAAATAAAAACATATATTTTTTAATTTCCCTTATTTTTTAGAATATTCATTGCTCAAAGACATAGGCCCGTAGTTATAGCCAAATAAAGTCAACTTTAAAGTTATAAACAACTTTTTGACATAACCTACAATGGGACATCTGAAGGCAGCCTTTGGCGTTGAAAAGGGCCTATTGCAGTTTAAGGCGATGCCTTTTTAGTAAATGTAACTTTGAAAATAAAGGGGCACCGAAATTGCGCATATGGAAACTGTGCATTTAGACATTATTTCGGTTTTAAACCGAAACTGTGCATGTATGCATTACTTCGTTTTTTTTCATATGCATTATTTCGCTTTTAAAACGAAAGTATGCATATGCATAATTTCGGTATTTTCTCATATGCATTATTTCGGTTTTCAACCGAAACTGTGCATGTATGCATTACTTCGGGTTTTTCATATGCATTATTTCGGTTTTCAACCGAAACTGTGCATGCATGCATTATTTCGGTTTTTGTTATATGCATTATTTCGGTTTTCAACCGAAACTGTGCATGTATGCATAACTTCGTCTTTCACAAATGCATTATTTCGGTTTTCATCCGAAACTGTGCATGTATGCTTTATTTCGGTTTTTGCCATATGCATTATTTCGGTTTTGAACTGAAATTGTGCATGCATGCATTATTTCGGTTTTTGTTATATGCATTATTTCGGTTTTCTAACGAAAGTGTGCATATGGATAATTTCGTTTTTTCTAATATGAATTATTTACTTCTACTTAGTAAGGGTTTTAATCCCTAAGCGCGGCTGAAAGCCGCCTACGCAGAGAGAAGTTCTGCGCAAAAATACGTCCGCCCTTCTTTTCCGGCAATACAGAAAGGAGAATTCTACTTAGTAAGGGTTATAATCCCTAAGCGCGGCCGAAGGCCGCCTACGCAGAGAGAAGTTCTGCGCAAAAATACTTCCGGCCCCCTTTTCCGGCAACACAGAAAGGAAAATTCTACTTAGTAAGGGTTATAATCCCTAAGTGCGGCCGAAGGCCGCCTACGCAGAAAGAAGTTCTGCGCAAAAATACTTCCGGCCCCCTTTTGCGGCAACACAGAAAGGAGAATTCTACTTAGTAAGGGTTATAATCCCTAAGCGCGGCCGAAGGCCGCCTACGCAGAAAGAAGTTCTGCGCAAAAATACTTCCGCCCTTCTTTTCCGGCAACACAGAAAGGAGAATTCTACTTAGTAAGGGTTATA